CCTGACAACGTGCGAGTGCGACACGACGTTCAATTAACGCGCGGAATAATTGGATTGGCGTTTGACGGAACATCCTGAAAGCAAGTGTGGCGTAATATCAGGGTGTCTATACTAAAACAGGCTGACCAAAAAACCAGTACTTCTACAGTGCTTTTTCAGTACTTTCCCAAGAAATTCGGTACCTCCTCAACAGAAAAATTCAGTATTTTTTCAGTACCTCCAATCGAAAAAATTCGGCAAATTTGAATTTCCCGCTCAAATTGTGACAAAAATGACAAAAAAATGAAAAAATTCCAGACCTTCTTGCAAAATTCCGCACTTATTCAGCACTTCCGGATCGCCCGTTAAAAATCAGTACTGGAAATTCCGGACTTGTAGACACCCTAAATATGTTTTAATGCGACGGTCCGCAGAACGAAGGACCTCCCGGTACTGGTAATATTAGGGAGAGAATTGTTCCAATAACTTTTGGGGCTATAAGAAACCAAAAACTGGAAGTTATGGCGCGAAACAGGTACAGGTATAGATATATTAGATGATCGAATATGCGTTGTGATAGAAGTATTTTTCAGGAAAAGCTACATGTGACCCATGTGCCAACGTTCATCTGATACTTCGTCCACTAAGAAGACGTAATTCCTTCTCCAGTAAAATTTGACATTCCAAACGTGATAGGTTTCAACAGGGTGGCATGAAAACGTAAGAAAGAAATGAAAGATAGGACATTTTAGTGAAATATTTAATGAAACACGAGACTGTGAAATATTTCATATTTTCCAGGGGCTAGAGTTTGCAACCCGCACTCAAACACACTAAATAGAAGAATGTCACAATTTTAAGATTGTGCGAAACATGAAAAGGAACTGGTATTTTTCGATATCTTTCAAACATTTCTGAAATTGCATGAAAAACTTCACATGAAATTTCGATTTTCTATTTTTCATGAAATTTTGCCACCCTGGGTTTGAACATCGACCGATTCGTTTTCAATACGACTAGGGGCCCCTGACCGCTTCGCGGTCCAACCCCTTGAAGCGCTTTACGTTAGGTTGTACGTTACGCGACACTTTCATGATATTACATGATAAAGCTAGATTTTGATTATCCGCGGAGACTTGGACGCAGTAGATGCACCAAGAAAAATTGTTCCTCGCCAATTTATGGGTCAAACCGATATCTAAGTTTACAATGCAAATCTACTACTACTAATAAGTCGCTCTAATAGCGCTTCTCTGCGCTCTGCGACAGCCAACCGCCACTGACAGCGATCTTGCCAGAGCTCCTCCGGCAGATCGCATCTCCTCATTTCCTGCCTTATTCCCTCAATCCCCGATTTGGCAGGGCGTCCTCTACGTTTTCTGCTAGGAGGGGACCCAATCCAGAACCTTCTTAGGCAACCTATCATCTGGCATCCTTTACACATGCCCATACACGGTGCCCCTGAACTCACTTTAAATGCGACTTTGTTGTACATCAAAAATTCAAGTTGGAGGTTGTAGTGGGGTACCTCCTGATGGGTTTTTGGGCAATTTCGAAATAGGTTGTCGGAGCTCCTCGAAAAATAATCGCATTTTTGTGGTTTTTTAGGGGTAAAATAGCAAAATTGGCCTCGGGGCGACAAATTAAACCCCCTCTCCNTTGTATGGGCATGAAAATTTCAGAAAAGTCCCATCTTATACCAGGTAAAAACATACTAAAAATTCAGATCGGTCAAAGCAAGGATGAGGGAGAGGGGGTTTAATTTGTCGCCCCGAGGCCAATTTTGCTATTTTACCCCTAAAAAACCACAAAAATGCGATTATTTTTCGAGGAGCTCCGACAACCTATTTCGAAATTGCCCAAAAACCCATCAGGAGGTACCCCACTACAACCTCCAACTTGAATTTTTGATGTACAACAAAGTCGCATTTAAAGTGAGTTCAGGGGCACCGTGCATACCAGACAAGCTTTTTTGTGAAAACGGCATGCAATATGTTCTTTTCGACGCCCATAATTTCACGTACCCTTTCATTCCGGCCGTGATCTTTCCTTGACACTCCGACCGATCTACGCTAGTAGTCCATTTCGGTTGCCTTAAGAATAACTTGGGACCGTTTCTTCAACTGCCATGCCTTGCTGCCATAGGTTAATATGCTTTTGACGATGAAGTTATAAATTCTCTTTTTGTTAACTTTAGATATTGTCTGGCCCCAAAGAATACCATATTCGTCATTCTAATGGCTTTCCTCCCCTGCAGATTACAATTTTTGATTGTCTGATCCAATTTGCCATCCAATGTTAAGTGCACACCTAGGTACTATTATTGTTCACAACCTCTGATCTCCTGGCCATCCTCTAACTCTACCGGACCGTTTCTTCAACTGCCATACCTCGCATACCTTCAATGCAAATCTTTCTTATTAAATTAAATCAATTAGTTCATAGTTGCAATGAACATAAGCTCTGTGAACTTTCTATAGTCGCTGAAAGGAATCGTCGACCATAATATCTCGGGCCTGGTGCGTAGGGAACTCAAGGGGGAGGGGGTGATTCCAGATCTTCCAAGAATTCTAACCTATCTCGCTACGTAAGAGACGGAGGAGGAGATATGTAGCAAGGCAGGCAAGCGCCATTGTTGCATGGAAGCGTAAAAAAACGCGAACGCTCTCCGTCGCGGTGTATCGAGAATCGGGAATATCGTCGCGATGAGACGACACTGCTCATCTTCCTGGCGGAAGATGGAAACTAATTGTCGTTGTACTTGGAAGCTGTAAGTTGTGGTCCAAGTTCCAACTTGCTGCCAGGGAAGCATCCATAAAACATGGTGCCAACTAGCTGCGGAAGGACTCGACTCCTCGCCGGAGGTCCTGCCGCGCGAGGAGCACCTTTTTTTACCTCTATCCCTGAAAATTCAGAACAATTTTTTCGTATCTCGCGGATCGTATTCGATACGTCAAACAGGTGAGATTGTATCGATATCGACTGGTTCGACATGTAAACATACAGGGTTATTCAAAAGTCACGCACCACTGGCCATAACTTTAGTTCTAATTAAGATATAAACTTGCGGTTTATGACGTTTTTCCTTATATTGAGGGGAAAACTTTTTTAGGTACTTTCCAGTTTTTGACCCTCTCAGGGAAAGGGGGAGGTGGAGGAGGAGTAGGCAACTAAAAATTTCAAATGACCTCCCCCCCCCCCCCCCTCATGGCCAATGGTGCGTGACTTTTGAATAACCCTGTATAGCCTCAAAAGTGAATCGTTTAATTTGAGGGAACGGGTTTTGTGTGATAGATTTTTGATACTTTGGCCACGACGAGTGAAATTGTTAGGAATTTTCTTATTTTTAGCTTTTCTAACTAATCCTAAAATTTTTATTAGATATTATGTTCTATTGTTTTGAACTAGACGATACATCGAACCGCTAACGAATCTATTCAAATGTACTTAGATGAAGTGATTGTTTCCAGTTATGAGATCCTTAGAAAAATTTATACTCAAAACCGGACGGTATGATAAATATATCCTTAATTAATTGTAGGTGTGTCACTGAATGAGTGTTTTCATTAGCATGGAGTCGAGAAATTTTAACCATGCTCATTTCCTGATTTTTCCATGATTTCCCCTGATTTCCCCTGATTTTCTGCTCACTTCCTGGCAAGAAACCGCAGTTTTCTCTCATTTCCCAAATATTCGTGGAGAAAACAAAACGACTCTTCGGAGTTCCAAAAATATGAGCATTAATTTTCCTCATCTTTCAGCCGATTCTTCGGCGTATATTAAAATTTTCAATTCCAAAAGTTTTCCTGATATTTAAATTATCTGGTCAATGAAAGCTCCTCTTATATTCTGATAATTTTTGTTGATATTATTATGGAGAAGCCGCACGTAAAGTTTTAAAAATTGAAAATATCCGTAAAACATAAACCATATGAAACATGAGCACTAGACAAGGTCAGGCAACAACGAGCACCTTAATGCAAGATCACTCATGAAAACTGCGCGTTTGACATGACAGACATGATGAAATTTTCCAAAAGAATAACTCAAAAGTTTTTTTCCTGCGGTAGACTGAAAGACTTCCGCTCGCCAAAATGCCTAATACTGCTGCGCTGTGAATCAAACTGACCAGCGAATTCCTATGGTTTCAGTCTCTTCCTCACCAATGCGCCGAGGTCTACTTCAGTCAAATAGATCGCTAAATTCTAATTTTATGATGGTTTACAATGAAATAATTTTCTTATCGTACTGAATTTTCTATGGAAAATTTGAAATTACAGTGTATATCAGAGCAGGGTTTAAATAAGCGCGAATCTTTTGTTTTTAAATTTATTTTTAGGAGCTTATCGCGCACACGATGACGTTTTTAGTCTTAGTTGTTGAAAAAAAGCTACCCCACTACATTAGAATATCCCTATGTGATTGCGTTACTACGTGTGTTTCTTACGATAACTTCAATCTAGTTATTTGCCGAATGAAGTTCGTTTTGGATGAGCGATTTGATTTACATTGATTTTCGCGGTAAGTTTAAATTTCCTGATTCTATATGCATATGTGCCGCGTTCACAGCGCTCTCTGGCGTTCTGTGACGCCTTAGCCGCCACAGTACCCGCTCCTCCTACATCCCCTCAAGGAGTTTGCACTCTCTCATTTCATTTATCGCCACCCTTTCACTGGGCGTCCCCTTCGTCTCCTCCCAGGAGAAACCCAATCAAGCATCTTCCTTGGCATAGTCATCCTGTTAACATGACCATACCAAACAAGCTGTGAGCTCGTCTGGCACGATCATTTCCTGATACTAATGCAAATTAATAAACACCTATTTCTTACTTATCGGTTAATTTGAGACATTATATTGACAAGTGTAACGTATTCTTCGTGAAATTTTGACCAGGAAACATGTGTTGCAATTTTTAATTAAGACTCTTGTCTGGTAAAATAATCGGAAAAATGAAAATCTAAAGAGTCGGAGGGCTATAGTAATTTCGTAAAGGACAAGTGGGCATAAACAGGACACTCACATAATTAAGGAGGAGGAATGAAACGCAGACGAAAGCAGCAGGTATCCGGCTGCAAGAGATGCAGCCCAGGTCAAAAGGCATCATTTCAGACCCGCAATCACATCAGGCGCACCGCGCACAGCCCTCGACGAAAGCCCGCACACACACGAGCCGTCACACATGCACACACCAACACAAGAAGCAACACAACCAACGGGGGCGAAACACAGGATCAAACACTCCACTAAGATTCGTTTCGGATCCTAACCTCACTTTTCGAGATGGAGCGAGCGCGAGTCGACGTGCCGCGACAGGTAAAGTTGCACCGTAACTGGCTCTGGGGCCTGGAATGGTGCAACCTCGACGGTGGGATCCACATTCGTGTTCCGCCCGTTTGGCTCCAGGTGGGGGGACCGGGCCCCGCGTGTCCGTGCCGAGGGGGGAGGGGGGCCACCAGCGCCAAGGTTGTTTTTCTTTTTCCATTTCGGCACTGCAGCGCGGTACAGTGGACGCAGCTGATCTTTCCACGACAAGAAATGCACTGGAGTGCTCTGCCATGATAGTGGAGAGAGGCGTAAGTGCAGAAATTAAGTTTTGAGGAAGTAAAATTTCATTGAAAGAAGCCTCCGTTCTTTTTTAAATAGACTGATTTAGTGACTACGTTATTCGATATGATAATGATATCGAACTCTTGGTTCGAACCAGAATAAACTAACATAACTTCATGCACGAATTTTCATGAGTTAATTGGACCGCGTTTAACAGAAAGGAACCAAGCCACATCAGCTATTGCCAAATTTAACTGGGCAAGTCAATTTTTTACGAGAGAACGTTTGAGCGGATTCCTTTGAAAATTTTAAGGAATTTGCTTCGTATCATGGAGAACACTGAAATTTGCACCAAAATCCGCCCAACCGTTTTCATGAAAAAAATTAATTCGCCAAATTAAATTTGGCAATAGCTGATGTGGCTTGGTTCATTTCTGTTTAACGCGGTCCAATTGTGTTAATGTATTAGAATTCAGTCATTGACCGGTCATATAGATCTATATTAAAGACTCATTAAACACGAGACATTCCGATTGTAAGAAACATTTGGAAGAATTTCACCACCATGGCACAAAGGGCGCAAATCAGAAACATGATTCCGTGTATGTTTACTTTTGAGCCAATGGTTCGATATTATATGGAATGAAGTAGCCACTAGATCAATATATTGCCACCAATCATCCGAAAGACTTTTAGAGATCGTTTGCACGATAAAAATCGACCAAATGTGTTTCAATTACATAAAAAGGGTACTATTCATTTTCATGTAAGGCTAGTTTAAGCGAGACAACTGTGAGTGCTATCTTCTGCATGTTTGCGATTCGGACACACAACAAACACATTTTCAGATTAGAAATGGGCAGAAAAGGGTGGTATTTTACTTAAAAGCACTGTTCACATATTGGCTCTCTGGAGAAAAAATGCTCCTTGCGGCTGTTTTGCCTGAAACTGGAAAGCCGATTTCAAAAATGTGAGAGTTACGGTTTTCTTCGCTATCACGGTCGCGGTAGCACATAACTGCATAGGTAAGGTGAAACTCCCAAACCACGTGTCTCGGTTTGCGAATTTGAAAATTTAGCACGATATACATAGGAAAATTAATGGACTGTCGTTCTTTTATGCTCATCGAATCAGATCAACCAAACTTAACTGAAAGAGGTTTTTCTGCAAATATTAAATTAAATGGTGACTTTATTGTATCTGCTCTCTTAGGATTTTACACGTTTATAGTATTGTATTCAAGTCATGTTTTTCAAACTACGGATTGCACCACTCTTTCTCTGCAGTATTCTTAATTTTCGTCCAAAAGTATAGGGTGTTAACTCAGCCTGACGCAATGGCGATTTTGAAAATTGAAAGCACTGTTTTCCTTCCATTTAAATCCATTGAAAATATCAACTATACAGGAGCGGCAGTCGGCCTCACCAAGAATCGATTATTTTACATACATTTAAATGGAGTCTAACAGTGTTGCCAACTTTCACGAATCGCCCTGGTCTGACGACAGATTTAAGGGTGTCCAGAGATGCCTAACAGGTGCCTAACGAGGGTCGAGCGGATTGGGTCCAAAAATGAGATAATCACGAAATTAAGTAATGATCCATTGACAAACCTATGACCGGTAGCTTCGCGATGTATATCGATTGATCTGCCATTTAAACCTATGGAGAAGGATCGATAAACAGGGCGTTCGCAACGAACACCTTAGTAATCGATTCTTTACCACAGCTTCGAATGGAGAAATATCGATAATCGATCGTTCAAGCCTCGCCACTGCCCATGGCATTGACATCCAACTGACATGATTTAAGCTCTTCCAATGCTTCAATGCTGACGAGCCCACTGTGCGGCCCGCGACGAAGATTCCGGCTCGAACGAATCATTCATCGCAGATCATTTTTTATCTTCATTAATACCGCGGAGAAGGTGAGGTGATCCCCTCTCCCCCGGGTCCATCCCCACGCGGACAAGGGGTTGTGGTCTGCGGTTGGTCACGGTTATTACGCACCCCCACCCTCACACTAATTTGTCCGAATTCGGCAGCTGACAGCGCAGGCGCGGTCGGATGGACTCCTGTGGTAGAACCCCGTAAGTCTCATAGAAGCCGGATGTACATACGCGATTTTTGCTGTCTTCGTCTTTGTTTCGGTCCATTGAACGCGGTTTTGGAATAAGTTTTGAGATTTAACGCGTCGGGTGACAGCACTGGCGATTCTCGCACGTTGGCAAAACTGGCTGACGTCCTTTAAATATGTGTGAAGTAATCTATATCTATCGAAGAAGAAGCGGGCTTAGTGCAATACAGGGTGATCCAAAAGTCCCTTCCACCCCCTCTAACTTTTGTCCTAATTGAGGTAAAGATTTGAAACTTGGGGGATGTTCCTAGGTCAAAGGGAGCTACTTTTTGGCACCCCTAAAATTTTCAGGGGGGCCCCCCTTGGGGGGGCAATGGACCCCAACTTTTAATTTTCAAATAGGAAGACCCCTTTTGTGATAGCTCGTTCGAAAGAGCATAAAAAAAGAAAACTTTTCGCGCAAACCCGAAGTCAATATCTCAAACCGTTCCAAAATGGCGGCCGGTTGAAGTTCAAAATGGCCGAAAATTCACACCGGTTATTTGTCGATGGATTTGCGCAAAAATCGGTATATAGGGGTATTTTGACACGAGAAAAACGAATTTAACGTTAGATTTTCAAAAAACCGAAATTTCCAAAATGGCCGCCGGTTAAAGTTCAAAATGACCGAAAATTGTCACCTCGGTTTTTTGCTGATAGATTTGCCTAAAACTTGGAATTTGAGAGTATTTTGACATTAGATAAACACATTTGAACTTAAATTTCCAAAATAATCAATTTTTGGCCATTTTGAACTTTAACCGGCGGTCATTTTGGAAATTTCGGTTTTTTGAAAATCTAACGTTAAATTCGTTTTTCTCGTGTCAAAATACCCCTATATACCGATTTTTGCGCAAATCCATCGACAAATAACCGGTGTGAATTTTCGGCCATTTTGAACTTCAACCGGCCGCCATTTTGGAACGGTTTGAGATATTGACTTCGGGTTTGAGCGAAAAGTTTTCTTTTCTTATGCTCTTTCGAACGAGCTATCACAAAAGGGGTCTTCCTATTTGAAAATTAAAAGTTGGGGTCCATTTCCCCCCCAAGGGGGGCCCCCCTGAAAATTTTAGGGGGGCCAAAAAGTAGCTCCCTTTGACCTAGGAACATCCCCCAAGTTTCAAATCTTTACCTCAATTAGGTAAAAAGTTAGAGGGGGTGGAAGGGACTTTTGGATCACCCTGTAGAGGGACTTTCATTGGCGTTTACGGAGTGCGCGAATCGCACGACACTTGCGCGAGCTTAGCAGATTGATAGGATTGTGCAGTCTTTATTAGCGTTTGCGGCGGATGAAATTCATTCACAGCCGACTTAGTTCCTTACAATAGTGAGGAAAAACTCGGAGCAGATTCAGGAGAAAATTCATAGCAGTACTGTCGGGTAAGTTACTTACAACCAGAGAACTACGTCGCACGATCTTAGCAGCATTAGAAGTCTCATACGCCCTTTTACTGTAAAATGCAGCACTGGAGAATTCGCATGCAAGTTTTTTATTGCTTCATCTGAAAGTGCCTAAAGAGCTAATCTTGCATTGTTTTTTAAACATTTTTTTCTGCTATGGGAAATAGTATGAAAAAAGATTTAAAAGTGGGAAAATGCACCGCCTTGTGACGTCATCTGGCGGCATTTCCCATTTAAACGCATGTATTTCAGCAGATTACATCATTTTGTCATACTTCCTCCAATAATGTTCAATTTATGAACCAAGGCTATCCTTGTATTCAGCTCACTTGGTAGCGTCCACTTAACCACGCAATTCATCAAATTTCAGACACCTGCAAATTCTCTATTGGGCACTATCCCTTAATCTTTTTTCCCATTTTTTAAAATCTATTTTCTATATTATACTCGCCAAGATACGTTGATAATCCTTTTCTAAATCCATACTACCTCACCTCCCAGCCAGGGTATTGATTTTACTACGTAGATGTCGCTTTAGAATAACTGTTAGGGGAAAAGGAGGCTATATACCGGCACCATTGGTGATCGGCGACCATTAAGCGTGGACCATTAAGTCGATGCTGCGGATGCTGTTTGCTCTTATCGCTCTTAATTGCTACAAATTGTTTCGATACACCTCGCCGCGGTTTTTCTCACTCTTTGGCCAGGCTCGATTTATCGCAGCTTTATGCGTCCCCGAACGCCGAACGGTTCTCGCGGGCCTAATGCAAGAGTGCGCGGAATGCGGAGAAAGCGGTCGGAATGCTCAGCGATAAGGACCAATGTGATTCTGGGTAAAAGGTCCTCGACCACTAGAATATTTGATTTTAAAGCTCCTAGAAAGCATGGTTGTTTTAATCAGAGCCTTCTTCGGCGTAGCAACTGAGCAACAACAGCTGGGGAGTATTCTGGCGCCACCATAGGTGCTATTTGAGTAAGTGACCATTTACCCAAAAGAACTTCAAAGGATCCAAAAGGACCCCCAAAAAAAACATCATTGCCTCATTAAGAGGGAAAAAAGTAAAAGGAGCGATTTTCCCTTTTCAGTGCCGGGAAATTTTGCTTGTTTCATGGTGTTTTTTGTTGATTTTTGTACTCTCTGAAATTATACCGTCCGAAGCAAATTTTTCCTCTGGACAGCTCGACGATGTAACTTCTAAACCACGTATCTCGTCTCCTGCGTTTAAAAATCTTCGCTAATATTTTACCTCTTTACAAGTGAACGAGTCTCCATCATTCCTTAAG